GTGTGTGTGTGTGTGTGTGTGTGTGTGTGTGTGTGTGTGTGTTGGGGATTAGAGCAAGGCCTCTTTTTTGGTGTCTTTGTGTGTGTGTGAGACACATCTCCTACCCCTTCCTAGTTCCGTGCTTTGTGTAAGGATAAAACCTTTTAGGTAGCCTCCAGCCTCTTCCGGCCTTTGTCTCTCTGAAGGATAACCAATCCACAACCATTCCAGGCAGGAACACACCCCAATGCTATCTGCCCAGTGCCTGACCACATGGTAAAGGTATAATCCAGAAATGGTTGCTGCCTGTAGTTACTCTTACCAAACACCCCAGACTCACAGTAATAAAGCAATTCCAAAGTACATTGTATTGTGCTCCACTGGTCCTCTGACCCTTTAGTATTTGCTACTGCAAAGAATTCATTTTCTTTAGTGTTTTGGCATTCAGGTTTACATAAATTTCTGTGTCTTGCTGTAAATTTACAGAATGCAATTAACAGTAAAGGCAGTCTAAAAACCACATTGGACCTTCCTAATCCCACAAATCAGTGCAGCAAGAACTTCATATTAAAATATGTTTCTTAGGGAAACATGCATCATAATGAAATATAGCTGTTCTCTTTACTGACAGCACATTTCTTTCTTTTTCTCTTCTTTTTCCTCCTATTTGCTTACTTATTTGAGATAGGGCTTCCTAAGATGCTGCTGGGTCTAGCCTCAAACTCCTAAGCTCATGCCATCCTCCCACCTTAGCCTCTCAAGTAGGTGGAACGATTGGGCCTGAGACCATACCTGCCTCTTATTGGCAGCTTGAAATGAGTAGCTACAGCTTGTGAGACCACCTTTTCAGCACGCCTTGATATTTTTAAAATGGAAGCTATATTACAGGATGCTGCAACCTAAATCAAACTCAAGTAACTCTTCATTCTCTAGTAATCCACTCCTAATTTGTTGACTTATTTTTTTGAGTCTTCCACATGCATGCACCTATTGCTGTATAATCAGTCTTCTTAACATGCAGCATTGATTTGATAAGTGCCATACTCAGCAGCCTTCTTTGACTTATCAGAACCTACCAAAGTCTGGGATGTTTGCCCAGTTATGGTTCCTAGGAACTGTTCTGAAACATCCCTGTTTCTACTTTCATTTGGAATTCCCTATATCCCTTTTGTGTACGCTCAGATCCTAGTTTTCAAAAGCCAAACCCAGCATTAAATGTCCACCTATGCCAAGAAGCTTTCCTTTAGTCTTCCTGGCTAATCTTCCCTGACATTTTTAAAGGGGAGATTTGCCTTCTATTTTGTATATTGTTATTTGTGAATGGATCTTTTATTGTCTTTCAGATTTTAAGCTGCATTAGGACAGATATCTTTTACATTTTTGATTCTAATCATGCCTCAACAGTCATAGATGCTCAATTATTAAAGATTGTTTCTACCTTTTTGTGGAGATAGACTCTTAACTGTATAGCCCAGTCTGGCCTTAAGCATTCAGTCCTCCTTTCCCAGCCTCCTGAATATCAGAATTACAGGGGTGCACTGCTGTGTCTGGTCCTAGCTCTTAAAATTATACTTAAGTAACTGTACTATTTGTTTATAAAGAATCAATATTGAAAACCTCTGTGGTCATGTGATCTAACAGATGGAGTAGTACTTGGTAGTTATGAGGAGCAATTGAAATAAAACATCTGTGATATAAAGAAAATATAATTCTTAATGTTAACTGACCTTATTGGACCTCATTGGCATTTATAGATGAGTTTTAGGGCTCAGAAATTATCTGGAAAATTTTATTGTACATTTTAATGGTTGTTTTAAAATAATATCTTTATTGAAGGGCTGAGGTATAACTCAGTGGTAGAACTCAGTGGTAGCATTGTAGACACAAGGCCTTGGGTTTGATCTCAAGCACTGCAAATAAAAGGGCATCTTATTGAGATTCATATACAATATAATTTAAGCATTTAAAGTGTATAACTTAGTAGTTGTACATATGTTTATGGCTGTGTCCCATCACTTACCACAATCAGTTTTAGAATATATCACCTCAACAAAAAACCTTATATACAGTCAGTCCACAGTTCCCTAGTATTTCCTCAAGCCCTTGATAATCACTAGTCTGATTTATATTTCCATCAATTTGCCTATTCTAGACATTTTTTTAAATTCCTTTTTTATTTTTCTTTGTGTGTGGTGTATTGTGTTCATGTTTGTATGGGTGTGGGTGAAGAGGTCGACATTAGGTGTCTCCCGTTATCAATCTTCACCTTATTTTTTTGAGACTGGTTCTCTCAGTGAACCTGGAGCTCACCAATTCAGCAAGACTGGCTGGCCACCAAGCTCCAGGGATCCTTTCATCTCCACCTCCCTAGCACTAGGATTAAAGAGGGACACGACACTTAGCTTTTACATGGGTGTTGTAGATCTGAACTCAAGTTCTGATGCACTTTTACTAATTGAGCCATCTCCACAGTCCTTAAATTTATTTTTAAACTAATATAAAAATATAACATTTTTACATATTAGTGGGGTTCCATATAAATATTCCATACATGTATGTATTACATAGTGCTTAAATCAGGTAAAACGTAGTTATCTCTTAAAACATTATTTCTTTGTAGTAAAAGGTTTCTAAATCCTTCATTCTAGGTTTTTGAAATGTGCAGTACATTATCTATTGTCACCCTATTATACAGTAGCATGACAGAGCTTCTTGTTGCTCTCTAACTGTAACTTAATATCCATTGAGCAACCTTTCTGAGTCCTTCTCTTCCCCTACTGTCTCCAGCCTGTGGCAAAATCCATTCTATTGTGAGGTTCACTGAGATCAACTTTTAAAGATTCCACATATGAGTGAGATAATGTGCTTCATGCTACTCTGGGCATTTCAAATAAGAGGATTCATTCATTATGTGATCCTTATGGGACTAGTTTCTTTTAGCATAATGTTTTTCAGGTGCAATCAGGCTATACCACCATATCATACCTTCTGTAGCTGAATGATACTTCATTGTATGGCTATACAGCAGTTTGCTTATACATATTTATCAGTTGATAACCATTTGGGTAGATTCTAATCTTTTGCTCTTATGAATAATGCTGCTATGAACATTTGGTTATATATCTTTGTGTAGGGGTAAGGAGCTTCAGTTTTCATTAGAGTTCATAAAGGGTCATCATGTCAAGGTTAAGAGCCATTAATGAGATTGGAGAGGGTATGATATCCAGCATTTACATCTGATAATATTCATATGTCTTGATTATACTCCATTACTCAGAAAAGTGTGGATTATATAGTAGCAGGAGTGTAAGTGGAATCTTTTGTATTTTTCCTCTGAGTTTGATAGAAGAGACAGCAAAATCCTGAGGAGTGATCTTAAGCAAGATATTTAGCATCTGTTCTTTGACTTTATCATTTGCAAAATGAAGATGTTGGTACAAACTTATCAAGCTCCCGAGAGTCTAAAGCAAGATACTGTCCATGAACAAAGTTTAAACTGTAAAGAGCTGCGCATATTTACAGCATTTAAATTCTTCAAGTTCGAATTTATGCATGCTTCTTATTGAAGCAATAAAAGGAATTTACTTGTACATAAAACTCACATTCGTGTTTCAAAAATCAATAGCAGACCCAGTTGTGGAGGCCCATTTCTGTAATATCAACATTCAGGAAGCTGAGACAGAAGGATCACCACAAGTTTGAGGCTATTCTGGGCTAAATAGTGAGGAACACGTCAGCAAGAGCTACACAAAAAGACTCTCTCTTAAGAAACTAAAACAAAAGAAAAGAAATACTGAGTCTACATAATTTTTATTCAGCTTTACCATAGTACAGAAAGATCTGTAATTTTTCATACTGAGCTGATGCTTATTTAGGTGGGGACAGTGTTTTTAGTTTGTTTTCTTAATAGTCTGTTAACGGAAGCTTTTTCTTTGGTTTTATTATCTTAAAAATATATTGCCTTCTCTCAAACATGGCCTGTTTCAGCCACTGCTGGGAGCTGATAGGGTATCACTGTAAGCAGAGCTATATTCATATAGGTCTAGTTATGGAAGGTGCTAATGATTATCATACCCTGTCCTCTTCAGGGCATGTGCTTTCTCTATTT